TTTGAGTGTAGTACAATGTTGGGGATCTGATAAGTGCTTTTTATGGATTTGCTCTTTGCTCTCAATCCTTACTGTTCTCAGTGTCACTTCTCCAAGTATCATCCCCTTTCCCTACCTTATAATTTTAATTCTAAACTCTTACGGTGGCTGAAGTCTATACTCTAGAGTAATATGAAATGTGGCAAATGCACAACATATTTCGTGTAGCATTATTCATAGTAGAAAAATAAAAATTAAAACAAAAACCATAAATGTCCAACATAGGAGACTATTTAATGAGTGGTACTTTCAAATAGAATATTCTGTAGCCATTAAAATTATTTGAACATGAAGAGGCTTTAATGAAATGAAGTGGTGCTTACGTAACAAATGTTAAGTGGAAAATGCAGGATATAAAACTACAAGATACTAACCACATTTTAAAATGCTTAGAGAGAAATATACCAAAATGTTTACAATGGTAAGATACTAATAACTATTATTTTATTATTTTCTGTTAAACTGTTCTTTCTACTTATTTCCAAAATTGAAGTGTAACACTTAAAAGTCAGAAAAAGAATTTAGAAAAGAAAATATCACATTGGAAAATATGATCTAGCTAGTCATAACTATATAAAATAAAAATATGTAGATTCTAAAGCTTCTGCTGTATGAACTTGTCCACAATTCTGTGACATTGTATGGTTGCACACACATGGTTTTTGTTCACTTCCCATATCTTTGCTGAATTTCAGGTTGCTGGATAGTTAAATTGTGGACGGGCAAAGCATTAAGGTACACATGTATTTAAAAGGGAAGAGAGGACACACAAATATAGAAAGACGGGAAAAAAGGTTAGAGAGAAAAAGTTCTGAGCTAATGCTTTTAGACAAGTATTTAAGGGATTTTTTTTTTCCCATTAATTGGTTTCTAGAAGTTTGGAAGTAATAAATAGTGGTAATTGTCATTAAGTCACTCAGGCTGATTTATCAGCGGATGAGCATTAAAGACAAATTAACCTCTCTAGAGACCAAGATACCTTCTAACTAACAATTAACTACTTCCTAAAACTGAGAAAGCTGAATTAAGAATGTGAGAAAGTCAAAACTCAGATAGCATGGAAAGAAGCTAAGCAGCTGAAACAAATGAGTGTGTTAGTACAGATGCTCCTCAACTTACGATGAGGTCACAACCAGATAAACCCATTCTAAGTTGAAAATATAATAAGTTGAAAATGCATTTAATATATTTAATCTACTGAATATCATAGCTTAGCTTACCCTACCTTAAACATGCTCAGAACACTTACATTACCCTACAGTTGGGCAAAATCGCCTAACACATGGGCGAATCGCCTAACACTTTTATAATAAAGTATTGAGTGTCTCATGTAATTTATTGAATACTGTGCTGAAAGTGAAAAACAGAATGGTTGTATGGGTACTCAAGTTGAACTCTTCATAAGTCAGGGGCCTTCTGTATGGGATGGTTATATCTGACGGTATTGAATACTACTACTGATTTTCCATCCTAATTTCTTTGTATTATCATGAAACATTTTTCTGTTAAATAGTAATATATTTTCCTATTTTCTCCTCTTCCTTTCATTGAAATCATTAATATACGGCTTATGGAGGAGAAGGCTGGGACCTTTTGAATTTACAGCACACAATGACACTCATTGACTCATACATACACACAGCCCCCACCAAATCTGCCACCCTGCATCATGTCACTCAGAGAAGATCAAAGGCAAACTGAGCCCAGAGTGGGCAATTTAACAAATAGATGTTTGACTCCTCAAAGCTTCTAAAGATAATTTTTTAAAATTTCCCTCTGCCTCCCCAAACACTACATGCTAAGAAAAGACTAAGAGTACAGGTGACCCTTGAACAACATGGGTTTCAATCACGTGAGTCCACTTATATGTGGATTTTCTTCCCTCTCTGCCACCCCTGAGATAGCAAGATAAGCCTCTCCTCTTCATCCTCCTTCTCAGCCTACTCAATGTGAAAATGATGAGGATGAAGATTTTTATGATGATCCATTTCCACTTAATGAATAGTAAATATATTTTCTCTTATGATTTTCATAATAATATATTCTTCTCTAGCTTACTTTATTGTAAGAATACAGTATAATTTTAAAAAATTATTATCATTATTATTTTAGAGACAGGGTATTGTTCTGTCGTACAGGCTGGAGAGCGATGGCTGATCACAGCTCACTCCAGCCTCAAAATTTTGGGCTCAAGCGATCCTCCTGCCTCAGTGTCCTGAGTAGCTGAGACAACAGACGTGTAACACCACTCCCTAATTTTTTAATTATTTTGTAGAGACAGGGTCTCATAATGTTGTACAGGCTGGTCTTGAATTCCTGGCCTCAAGCAATCCTTCTGCCTCAGCCTCCCAAAGTACTGGAATTATAGTTGTGAGCCACCACACCTGGCCAAAATACAATACATAATATATATTAACATATAAAAATACGTTTTAATTGACTGCTTATGTTATCAGTAAGGTTTCTGGTCAACAGTAGGCTATTAGTAGTTAAGTTTTGGTGGAGTCAAAAGTTATACATGGATTTTTGACTTTGTAGGGGGTTAGTTTCCTTAACCCCCATGTTATTCAAGGGTCAACTGTACTTTAAACTGGTTTGAGGGATAGACAAGATCCAAACCTGTTCTCATTCAACATTAGTGGCATTAATTAGCATTTGCAATATGATTTCTGAGGACTTCCCCAAATATATATTTTATTATATACAAATATATAAACCAAAAATTTATAACATATTATTATTATAATGACCTTGTGAGATATTATTAGCTCTATTTAATAGATGAAGAAATAGAAGTTCTAAGAGGTTAATTTGTTAAAGATCACACCAGTATTACGCTAGAGGGAAGGCCTGGAATTTAGATCCCCTAACTCTCAAACCTGTGTTTATTTCTACTATTTTATGCTACAGAGTTTATTGATAGATTGATTCCATGCCAAAGTAGTTGCTACTAAAAGCCACACACAAGTGTACCTCTGTAGATTAGTAGTTGCTCAACAACAATGTAGGAGAGTGGAAAATTATTGCTGAGAAAGGGAAAAATGGAGTGGTGGGAGGTTGCAGCTGATGTTTATTTCCACTTTGGTGATTTCTTATGACCCTTCATCCACGAGAATGCATCCCTGTTCTCTTGACAAATATAAGTTCACCATTTGTCCTTCAAGGTTTAAACTAACGCCCTACCTTAAAAAATTCCATGGAAAACTTGAGCCACTCTCGTTATTCCTTGACTCCACATCTCGGCTTAATTTTAATAGCTTGTGGATATTACAAGATATAATTGTCATCCCAAATTCCTCAGGAATTTTTCTCCAGAGGTCATACATGTATGTTTTATCTCCCCAGCTAGACTTTAAGCAAGCTCTATGTTTTCTACATCTCCAATTCCTCCCCATCTTTTCAATGCTCTTCTTTTCTTCCAACTGCCTAGTACGTTGCTATGCATTCAATGATTGCTTACCACGCAAGTGAGAACCTCTATTAGGTGGTAAAAGCACAGATTGATTAGTAATTAGGAGGTTGGAGTCCCTGCTGTACAACTAAGTAACTGCATTATCTCAGGCACGTCTATGGGTCTCAGTTTTCGTACCATAAAATGGTTCTGGGGATAGGAAGTGGGTGGACTTAGGAGTTATAGAACTCATAAGTGATCTATATATGATCTATAAGATGCTATGAATATTTAAATATTATTTTGATTGGCACTGATCACAATCTTACTTTATTCCATTAGGGATAAGAGATGAATAAGAATTCCAATGAGAAGAATATTGAAAGTAAGACAAATACAGAGACCAAATAATAAACCATCCAACAGGCAGGAAAAAAGCCAATGTGTCTGGAGAATTAATAAAGCAAACGTGAATCAGAGAAAGTAGAGATGTTCTGGGCAAGGCTAGAAATGTAGATCCTGCTAAAAAGGGACAAGAAAGGGTTAGAGGGTGGAATGTAAATGGGGAAAGCTTAATAACTAGAAAATTGTATTAGTGGTTAGGCAAATGTAGCATAATGTTTTTTTTTAAATTGCTCTTCTGTTTGTTATTCAAGCTTGAAACCAAATATTAATAATGTCAGTATTAAGCATGCTTAGATTATGATGAAGAAAATAAGATGGGATGGTAAAAGTATTCTTGTAGAAATAAAAACAGAAGTTCCTGGCATAAAAATAAGTATTAATACTATCAACATTTGACTATCAGAAACCTATTTTCCTATACTTTTTCTTTCAATTTTTTTTTTTTTTTTGGCAGGGACAGAGGTATGGCAATTTTAATCAGGATATTTCTGCTGCTTAAGTTTAATTTTATTAAAGATTTTTAATAATGCCAAGTAACACTATACTCATTTCATTAAAATTTGGTTTTAGCTATCAGACCATATAATGGATTAAAATGGTATTATGAAGAGGTCTGCCCATAACTTCATTAATAAGCTCCCTTGGATGAGAAGAACTTATGGTAAGCAGTGAAATGAAGTCTCTGGTGTGGTAGTCTCTGTGTTCCTAAGAAAAAGAAAGTCGAGTTCAGTTTAACAGTTCAAGAAAAAAATAGTACTTCTTCAAAAAAGAATCTGAAATTTTAAAAAAATCGGAATCAAATAATAGTTCTTGGATTACAGGATGTAAAGGTTTTTGGCTGGTATCCAAAATTGAAATAACATTTTAAGAGTACATGGTTAATAAAAGGATAGAAAAATTCCATTTAAAAAAAGCAGAAATTTAAAGGGATTTGTTATTTAAGAGCCATTTTTAAGAATCTTCTGACAAAGTTTTGATACTAAAACTGCCGAGAAGAAACTTACTATTAGTCCACGTTATATAACTTTGAATCCAATTTGCCCTTAACCTTCTACCTCAGAAAAGGTTCCAAGTTTAACCAAGGTCTATGATGAAAATTTTGCAAAAGGAATGAAAATTTTGCAAGAGGAAAAAAGTTGTGTGTGTGTATTAAAGACAAACATACCTGCTTCATCATAAGATACAGTCAATTTTTCTAGCATTTCTCGGTCAATTGACAGAATCTGCTGTTCAAGGATGGTCTGGTAAGACAATACACTATTTTCTTTGTCTTTCTCGTAGTCCTGAAGATGGTGTTTAAGGGCCTCTGGGAGTCGAGATTTTACATATTCAGCTGCAGTCTGCAGATAAAACAGTCAGAGAACTCCATTAGTACTTCTCATCTTAGCCTTTTCACTTACCCCGAGGTGTTGCAGAGAAAACTCAAAGCACTGTGGAACCAACCCTCCAGACAAGCATGTCCTTGTCATTGTCATTTTTAGACTCCACTGTACCTAGTAAGGTGGATCTTCAAATAGACAGAATCACAGACCTCTAAGAGCTTTCTACCAGGTTTAAAGGCATAAAAGATGATGGATTTGGTTTGATATTAACGGAGCTAGTGCTCAGAGTTTCAACTATGACAGTGAACTCTAAAGGCCCCATGACAGTAATTTTGCTAGATACAAATCTGACTTTCCCTCTTCTAGAATGCAGAAGATAGCCACTCATCTCAGCAATGAGCCCATCCATGCTATGCCATTCACATCCCTACTTTGTTTTACTAGTCTCCACTCATTAATGGTTCCATAAGAACTCTTGTAAAGTGAATAGAGAAGACAGCCCTCTGCCAGTGCTGATAATGAAATAATGGGATGAAAAGATCTAAAACAATGATGCCCCTTAACCTGAAAAAAAAGAAAAGAACTGTTCACCACTTAAATGTTTTAGCATTTATATATATTAATTTGGGTTTTTTAAAAATTGTTTATCTTTGTTTCTTGCTTCTACACTATCTGTACAACACATTCCTAACATCTGAAATTACATGCGGTGATTTCAATCAGGTAAGCACATTCCACTTGGGGTTAGAAAGGAAGACATACATTTTGAAAAAGACCTTCTCAAAGATTCTTTTTTTTTTTTTCGTTTTTTTGGTTTGTTTGTTTTTTTTGAGTAAAGATGGGGTCTCACTCTTGTTCAGGCTGGTCTCGAACCCCTGATCTCCAACAATCCACCCGCCTCGGCCTCCCAGAGTGCTAGGATTACAGGCGTGAGCCACCACGCCCGGCCTAAGATTCTGATATGTTCTTCTGGCGGACTGTTGGCTCCCTCCCACTTGAGAATCACAGTACTAGTTAAACATAACTTTATGGGAGAAATTAAGTGATAGAATGGCATGTATGAAGCAGGGAACTCTGAAATTCTGAAAACGTTATCTCTTGAGAATGTCAAGTTTGGCATCTCCCTGCACTGCAGTTCTTCGCTTCCATAATGTCTAAAGCTGATGAATCAATAAATGAAGTTATACGTATATTGTTTAAAATTACATTCATAATGAATAAAAAAAACTTTAAACTACTAAAAAAAAAAAAGATAGCCTCTGGGGCAATCTTTGCCTAGAATGAAGCAAAAACTCATCTACACAGTTCAATTTTTAAAAATCCTGTGGTATTGTATTGCACAGGAGGGTGACTATGGTTAACAGTGAGATATTCTATATTACAAAATAGCTAGAAGAGAGGTTTTTGAATATTCTTAGCACAAAGAAATGATAAATGTATGAGGTGATGGATATACTAACTACCCTGATTTGAACATTTAAAACATCGAATGTACCCCATAGATATCTACAATTGCACTATGTCAATTTTTAAAAACCCTGTATAGCATTATTAATTGCATAATTTAAAATCAGTATGAGTTACATACACACACACACACAGACATATATATGATACATGCTCATCAACAGAGGTTCAGGTTTTTGCATTTATAAAATAGTATGCTCTATAGACTTTGGAAAAAATAAGGTAGGACTATATGTACTGTAAGAACATATAGGACACCATGTAAGAACACCATGATATATTGTTGAGATTAAAAGGCAAAGTTACAGAATATCAGGGATAGTGTATCCTTTTTATGTAAAGCATACATATATGTATATATTGTATTTAGTGTTATACATGTATGGGAGAAGATATGGAAGGATATACTCCAGTTGTGAAGGATATTTTTTACTTTCCACATTTCTGTATTTTTTCCATGTTCTTACCATTATCATTTTTAAAAACTATCTTTAAAATATATTTCTTTGTAAACTTCATAGTTTTCCTTTTAAATGCTAGAATAATTTAGGATGAAAAGAAACTTGCCAGAACAATGACAATTGACTTCCCAGGAAAAGTCCCCTGGGAAGTGGTGAGAAAAGCTGTATTTCACTCCTTGGAGTAGCCAAAGATAGCACACAACATTTTTTATTTTCAGATTTATATTTAGATTCCCTAAGTCAGTTGCTGATGAAATTATAACTTTAAAGTATCACCAAACATTGTTCAATTTCTCTGCCAGGCAGCTAGCGCAGAACAAATAAAATTATTCCATAAAATGTAAATGGACTCAGCGCATTTACACAATATATTTAATTCTAAAGTTTAACAATAATTTTCTTATGACACTGGAAAATGAAGAGACACACTGCAGAATAACTATTTTTAAACTTGCACTATCTTGCTATTCAGTGTAACGTCTGTTGGTAATTTTTTTCCTTGGAATACCTATGAGGTATAGGAAATAGTTCCATAATTCACATTTGACAAATATTGATGTACTCTATATTATTGAAAGCACACCACATATTTCCTTCCAATTGTACCTCCTAATTTTATTTGAAATGAAATTTACTTTCCTAATTACAACCATGATATAGATCTTTGAACAGGGCCTTTATCTTTGATTATATTAGAGTTATATTTTGGCATTTCATTTCTAAAACAGTATAACTTCATGTGTACAGTTCTCTCTATTGCTAAAGATTCTTGGAGGAATGGAAAGAAACAACTCTAGGCAAAATATTAGATTCTGCCAAGATATTTTAAGAAATCACCTTTTACTGAGGTGATGCTCTAAATGTATTCAAACGGCAGTTAAACTTATGTTGAAGAATGAGCTTATGTTCAAAATCATGTTATTAACTGAGATTGGAATTACTCTATGAGTAACAGATAATACAAAGAGCAATTTGAATTTAAAAACTTTGCTAATTCTAAAAGTGAAGTGAAAACAAAATAAAAATGTGTGAGTACTTATCTATTCTTTAATCAATGATAAATGCTACTGAAGTTTAAGTCCTAAATAGCATATTCTTATAACCTAATTATTCTGATGCAACAACATTATTATTACTATTATCAGGATCTTGCATGCGTGCGGTACTGTATGCTTTTCCAAGCAATGTATGCCCTTTTCATTCTGTATCTTCACAATAACTTTGAGTGAAAGTAGACAAATTATTGGTTTTGGCTAATCCTTTATATCCTTCAGAGTTTGGCTTAAATGCTATATATATATACTGTGTTAGTGTTGCTTCTATGAACACCTAAGAGCACCAAACAGTCTTCCAATTCTTGCCTTTATTTCTTCATTTGGCAACAGGTTTGATTCTGCTAGGGACCCTTTAAGAGTCATATAGAATGTACTTCAGAACTGCACGTGTGAGTTAAGGGTTACCTTATGACAGGCTCAGGTTTGTGCTTACCCAAATGTATCCTAGGTGGCGGTAGAAAAGCCTCAGGGCAGAAAGTGGAAGAAAGTTCACAGATTCCCTCTGGTTAGACCTGAGAAGATGGTGGCCTCAGCAACAGCTGAAGTAAAAAGATAAGCTAAAAGCTTATGAGGCTGGGCACAAAAGTTGCCCAATGCACCTTCTTACAGAATTTGCATACATTTATATTACTCATGCCAGCTTCAGTCTGGAAGACAGTAAAGGGCTAAAGTAGACCCGATAAAAGGAACTCAGTGAGTGAGAAGGATAAATGAAAAAAAAAAAGGAGAATCATTAAGAATTTAAATTCTGGGAATACAGTAGGTAGAATGCTGATGCTATTCATTAGGCTAAAAAAACTATTTATTATTATAGTGGTATGTTCTTTAATTAACAACTGATACGTATTAAAGAATTTGGGGGCTGCAAAAGTATGTTTTAAGAACTGCTAAAGCTTCACAATTCATCTTAAAAAGAAAAGCTGTGAGCCAGCTAACTCTAATTTATTGACTGACTGCTGAGTAAAGCATATTAGACTTGACACTATTGGGAGAACAAGCCTCTATCATAAAGGAACCTGCAATTTCAATATGCAGAGAAAGCACACAGGAAATACTGGAAAAACACATTTTACAAAGCAATACAAAAATAGGCATGAATCTTGAGATAAAATACTTATTTAATATATGAGCTATGTTAAGTTCTGAGCAGCCTCTAGGGAGAGAAATTAAGAAGGGAGAGGCAACACAGAAAAATAATCAGGAAATCATTCTGGTGGAGTTTAAAGGCCAACTTTGAGATAAGAGGCACTTATTGGAGGAAAGACAAGCAATCTAGAAAGCAGTGAGTGTGAGTTCATTGGGAGAAATAATTAGAAATGAAGTTGATAAAATTAGGAGCATGAGAGAGCTGGCAGTTGGAGAAGTCTGAACTCCATGTTAAGCCAGGGAGTTTTGATTTGTAGCAGTTAGTATTAGGAAACAACTGCAACATATTGAGGACTAAAATAAGTGATCAAATCTTGTTTGAGAAACAATGTGCTTGAAGCTGAGTTTAAGATGCACTGAAATATTATAGAATGAGATTAAAGCGAGACAAGTAAAAAGTCTGAAGGAAAAGAAAACTGGCCTTCTACGCTGTTGGTTGGAGAATAAATCAGATAATCTTTTTGGACAGAAAGTGAAAAATGTAAAAAAACTTTAAAATAGTTTATACCTTTTACCTAGTAATTATCTTTCAGGAATTTACTTTAAGGAAAATTGAAAGATGAGCACAAAGCCTTGTGTACAAACATTTTATAAAAATGTTATTCATGATAATGAAAATCTGTCTAGAAATTGGTTGATTAAATTATGGGATATTGTATAATGGAGTACAATGTAGCTATTAAAAATCATGTTATGAAAGAATACTAAACTATGTAGAAAAATGCTTATAATAAAAAGCAGATTACTCCAGCCTGAGCATGAGCAAGACCCCGTTCTACAAAAAAATAGAATAATTAGCCAGTACAGTGGCACTCTCCTATAGTCCCAGCTACTCGGGAGGCTGAGGCAGGAGGTTCACTTGAGCCCAGGAGTTTGAGATTACAGTGAG